GGAGTGCTATTAAAAAACAATACACCAGAAAGATACTGTATATATTTGAAAACAATTAACTTACTTAAACATTTCCAGAAAAGTCATCCTACAAGCAAAGTGATTCACAGTGGAAAAAAACTGTAACTGTTCTACAAAGTTTGCAGAAGAATTGCCTACCAAAGGCAAGAAAACCACTCGCACACACACTTAATGTGAAAATAAGAGAGGAGAAACCCAAGTCAATTATAAAATCATTTTATTATTATTTTTAAGCATTCTCCCAATTTAGGGTACACCACCAAAGAGAAACATGCAGATCTGTAAATGCAGATATTGTTGAAATAAAAATACAGTATTTTAAGTGTTGCACACACAAAGAACAATTTTATGATGGACAAATATTCATGTTTGATAATCAGAGAGAAAAAGAATAAGTCACAACAGAAAAATCTCAGTAAATACACATGAAAAATACAGAATCTACTTAACGTATTAATTTCTGAGATAGAGAAAGAAAACTGCCTTACCTCAGATATCATTTGAAGAGAGACGTTAACAACAAATCTGTATCCTTTCTGAGTTCTCTTCATAGAAATCTAAGAAGAAAAACAAAATAGTAAATAACACAAATACAAAATAGCAAATAACTATATTCCCTGCAGGCAGCATGTGTCCCGGAGTAACATGTTTTCCACTACAATGTGCTGAAGAGAAAACATGTAACTCAAAGACAATCCTTTCAAGATAAAGGAGAGGGGAAACTTTGTTTTAAAAATTCCTAGTAAAGCTTACTGCATGTTGAGGGAATGCAGACAAGCGGGAACTAAATAACACAGAGAGAAATGTGATGTCATCTCACTGCTTTCAATAAAATATTAATTTGGTACATTTGTCTACAAAACAAAGATGGCAAATTCATCGGGCACAACTCAGTCACTGAAGATCTGAAAAGATTTCTGGTCCAGCAGTAGGCACACATGTGCTCAAATGACACAACCTCACTAACTTGCTTTTTTTCCCTCCCAAACTACAGCACTTTCTAAAGCTACACTTGAATGTTAAATGCTTTGGTCAAGAGTTCATCCACTGACCTGCAATGAAAGCCTTGCGTTCAGCTCCAACATTTTCTAACAGTAAACAATGAAAAAGAAAAATGGTTTCACAGGACGAACTGTTAAAAAAGAAAATCCTCACATAAGCTCTCCCTGAGGAGAAAAGTATATCCACAAGCTTTAAATTGGCCAGGTGGATTTAAGAGGAAGCAAAGCAAAAAAAAAAAAAAAAAAAGGGCAGCTCTTTCTGTTGCGTCAAAGAGCTCACTGTGCAATAGGAACAGTGAACGGAGTTGTTAAACTGGCAAGCTCCCGCTGAAGACAGCTTTTCAATATGCTCTCAGCATCGTTGTCTGGAGACAGTCCCACTGCTCTTACATGAGCTGCGCTCCTTCAAGAGGCCATCGCTCTCAAGGACAGTTTCTCTAAACATGCCGTTGGACTGGTTTTGCTGTACATGATGAGGGTAATTACACACATATACATAGCGACACTGACATAAAAGAAAAGCGTTTTCTTAGGGTGAAATATAGACATACTCCAACTAGTGATTGTCACCTAGCACAGCAGGCTGTCAATGACTGACTGGCTTCTAAAACTCTATGCTTATGGCATTCAGCATGCTGTTGGAAAGTAATTTCGAAAGACGCTGTACTTACAGAGGAAGTCTCTAATGTAATTCCATTTCAATTCCATCAGGACACTGCAGACCAAGCGGCGCTTAGTGATTAAAGGAAGTCAGTGGGCACATGCTGCTGATTTGCTTTGTGTTTACTGCGGAGGAGGGCTCAGATGCCTCTAAGTCTGTGGCTGTAAGTGATGAGTTAAGCAGGTCTCCTGGGAACAACAGCTCCATGACAAAAGACCTCATCAGAGCCTGAAGCACTATGTTTACTGTGGAGAGAACAAGGAAATTGAGCAGCCTAGTTCGGAGCAAATAAAACCACATTCATCACCAAATATGGGGAATTACTATACAACTCTCTGCACCCCAGGAAATGACCCAGCATCCCTCTTAGAAGCAACAGGGATCTAAGCAAAGGCACAGCTCAACCTGCTTGCATCCAGGTGCCTCTGTCCAGCCAGTTGAATTGCATTTTGAGCTTCACTCAATAATAAAAGCGATAAAAGAGAGCTTGGTCATATAAAGGGTTACAAATGCCTAAATTCTCCTTGAAAACAATTCCCCTTCTGTCTTGTAAGGGGCAGAATAAATTTATAGCTAAGGTCCACCTAGTTTACAAGTTAAAGATGGTATTTTCTAAGCTTTTAAGCCCATGCACTCTATCCAAGCTCCCCTGTGTGCACCAAGCAGAGCTGTAATCAACATACTATATTATGCTTTTATTGCACCTGGACGACTCACTGCGTTCAGAGCTTCAGCCGCAGAGTCGCTGCAGTCATAAATGTTACACTGGCCAAATGAGATTATGGTGATTAATAACTCTGCTTATGCCATGCATGCAGAACTACAACCCAGTTCAATTTCCCAGACCTAAGGGCTAGGAAAGTAGCCTAACATTCCTCGTAATAGCAATACCTGCCCGCAAGACTAGTTAAATGTTTCCTATTACAAACACCTATTTGCCACTGCTCAGCACTGTGAAACTGCAGCCTGAGGGAACCTGATCACACTTGCTTTCTGCTTGAGCAGGATTTGGGCATTTTGTTAGAACCATAAAAGTGTAGTTATTTGTAGTTCTAGATGCTTTGAGGTAGGTGACTGGACCAGATGATCTCTTGAGGTCCCTTTCAACGTAAATTGTTTCATGCACCCGTGAAAATTAGGTCAGTTAATAACAGCTGCTTTAGGCTATTGCAGAAATGAAGTGGATTTGAAAGACACGGAACTCCTGGAGAGAGTCCAGCATAGAGCTATGAAGATGATTAGGTGTCTGGAGCTTCTCTCATATGATGAAAGGCTGAGAGGACCTGCACAAGCCTAGACAAGGCTGAGAGGGGGTCTTATCAATGTGTACAAGCATCTTAAGAGAGAGTGTTAAGAACATGGGGCCAGACAATTTTCAGCATTTTGAAGCAGGAATTTTGATTTAAATATTATGGACAACCATAGAGGCAGATCTCCATTTTGTTGCTTCATGATAAGGCACTGGATCTGCTGAAACATGCACGCTTGTGACTGCCACCTATAAGCAAGATGCTAGTCTATGAAGAAGGGTATGTGTTGAAACCCTAATTTCCTAGACAGTTCTGTACTTGGACTCCCAACCTCCTTTTGTTCTTCCTGCTCTGCCACTCAGATGCCTTTCAGCTCCAAGCCCCTTGGTCTCAGCCTCAAATTCTCAAGTCACAGGCAGCTCAAATAACTTAGCTGTAGAAATTGCTTCTCATAAAGCCCAAAGACATCTAACGGGTCTAAAACCACCACGAGGTTTGACTTTTAGATTTCGATACATCAGACCTCGCTGCATAGCTAGGTCAACACCTAAACTCTTCTCCAAGGCCTTGCCCATAGGACAGCAGTGGGATTCATGCTTTCCAGATCTCGCTATCCAGAATATTAGAAGGTGGAGAGTGACACTGAAAGCCCCCATTAACTCTAACTCTTCCAAGCTTGAACCGTCTTCAGGTGGTTCATACTTCATAAGTCTGAACAATGTCCCCTAGACTTCTTGCCTGGTCTAAGCTACACTATCTATATGACATCTCTCTCCCCTTTCCCTGGAAGGCTGAGTAAATAAGCAAACAGGTGTTGATTGAGGAAAAAATGCTTTACAACATAGGACTATAAAGATGATTAAGGGACGGGAACTTCTCTCCTAGGACAAAAGGCTGGCAGGATCTGTTTAGCCTAGAGAAGGTTGAGTCCATTGTGCGAGATTTTCTGATGTGGCTTTTGTCATTTTTCTGAAGGCGAGTTAATCGCATACTGTGCGTTCCTTCAGACTGCACGTGACGGGTGCATGAAGACAGAGCTAAGGGGCAAGACCTTGATATTTCATTCTCAATCCCAGAAATAAGGCCAAGGACTCTGTGGTGCCTCTGGGCTGAAAATCTGTTGCGGCTCTGCCAATAGGATCACCTTGTCCAGCACAATGATCAGCATTTTCTGGCCTTATGTGATAATGAAGAAAGAAGGCGGCAAAGAATATGGCACTGAACACAGATTTTGTCCTTTATGATTTATCTCCATTAGAGAGCAAAAGTCTATTACAATTGTTTGCTAAATAGATAAACTATCTCCTAGATAGTGGATTTAATCAATAAAAGTTCCCAGGTGCAAAGTCTGCAGTGTGCCTTGTCTCGAAATGAACAGCCTACCTGAAAGAAGTCACCAGGAAAAAAAAAAAAAATCAGGAACTTATCATGCCTGGTAAAAAACAGGAAGAGTCAGACTTGTAATCACTTGTACTCAAAAAGCATCCAAACAACTGAAAGGTTTCTTTTATAAGGAAATGTTAACCTCCAAGTTGCTGAAGGCTAGGAAAGTGTCTGCGGAAAAGCCCTTGCTTTTCCTTGCCATCTGCTGCTGGTCACCTGGGTACTGTAAAACCCCTTAGGCATCACAAACCCAGTCTGTGGCAATTCTGCTTTGCATTTTTCCAAGTTTGCTTTGATGTGCAGCAGCGCCCACTACAGGAGAGCAGCGATAAACAGCAAAGCTGCAAAAGCTCAGCTGTCTGTAAACCCTGATTCACAGAGGGGTTCTTGACTCTAATGTGGCCACAAGTCCCCTGTTACCTAGCACAGCAGCTGTCGAACGGAGGAAAACAGGTCCCCCTACCCACAACCCCGTCTCCAAAGATACATTCCTTACGGTGGGCAGGCTTCCAGACCCCAAAGTATTGCCCCTAACGACCCCAAACCCCGTTCCACAACAGCCTCCCCCCTCACTCTCGCACGCACAACCCCAACGTCCACCACCATCGCCACCCGCCCCCAAAATGGCGGCCCCCC